CATATGTACCTAACTTCCTCAAACTAGGGGGGCCCAGTTCTTTGAAGGTCTTTGAGCAAAGACTACCCTGGCTGCTTCAAGCTGATTGGGGTCACTGTGGGCTTTGGGTTCCCATACTTGCTAGCTGTCGGCTGAGGGAGGTGGCTGCTGATGTCTGTCCAGAGACCCAAATCTGTCCTGTGGGAGTGAGGGTTTGGTATCCTTCAGACAGAACCATTTGGAGCTCTATGGCTGCTATACAAGTCATGGCACCAAATTTATGTTACCAGGGAGACGTAAAGATTTCGGTTCTTGTCTTCTTGAAGGAAAGATTTCAATCAAAAGACAAAGTGTAGCAAAATAAGTGAGAATTTATTGGTCACAGCAAAAAAAACCCAAACATATATATATATATACACACACATATATATACACACACACACACACACACATACACACACACTTAGGACAGTAAAACAAGGACAGGCATAGAAGAAGCAACAGTAGAGCTGAGGCTGGACTGCTCTGGCTCACTGATAAGTCAGAGACAGGGGGGCCTTGGAGACAGGTTCAGGGGGGTAGCTCAGGACAAGATGCAGCTGCCTGCTGCTCCCCTGGTTGCAGTGTTGGTGGGGTCCCTTAGGGGAAGGAAGGGGGAAGGGAATGGCTAGTGTGTGCTCCCGTGGGGGAGAGCATGCTCTGGGTTCTTCATCCTGAGCGTATTTATCTCTCTTGCAGGTGGAAATCATAGGGGAGTCTCAGGGCAGGGTCTCAATAGAACAGTCAACAGCTTATCAGGTGTGCTCCTTCAGGGACGTGGTCTCCACTGATGGGTCGGTGCCAAGGCAGCGGGTTATTAATCAATGTAGCATGACATCACTTGTCTGGTTTTCCTGCTTTTCTGGGTTGTAGCTGAGATATTACTGAGGCCTAGAATTACCTTTAGGGGGGGAAAGTTCAGGGGGTCTGAACTGCATGACTAGTGATATGAAAAGGCAGGGGTCCAAACTGCATGACCAGGAATACGCTAGGGTAGGTCTCGCTGGGGGTGAGGTTCTGGTTTTCCCAGTTTTGCCACTGCCCTGGTGAGTTTCTGTACCTGGCTCATTGTCCTTGCCCTGCTCATGTCTGTCTAACTGCCTAAAACATTATCAAGTTGTTCATCTTCAACTATATTAATAAATCATCTGAAAAACAGCCATCCTGTCAGAATCTATGATAACAGCCAGAAGATGAATGCACTGGTATAGATTTATTACAAAATGTTTTATTTCTGTGAACGAAAAGAGGATACATGCTAACCTGACTAGTTCGGGGAAGGCCTTCATGGTGGCTTTCCAAACTCAGAGACCTAAAGTAACCACAAAGGATAGTCTGAAATTAAAGCTTTTTTTTTTTTTTTTTTTTTTTTTTACTAAAAGCAGTTTATGGTGAATAGTCCTAGGCCAGCATCTTCCCTGACAGAGGTCAGTCTTTACCTTCTGTGTGCCTGTCTATTGTCTTTTTGCATCTATGATAACATCTCACTGGAATGTCAAAGTCATTATCCTTTTTCCGGACCTCTCAAAGCACACGTACCACTCTGCACAGACCATTAGTCCCTTCATTGTTACTGAGTTAGTTGTTGACTATTAACTATCCTACACTCACCTAAATAAAAGAAGTGTCTATCATTTTTTTTTTTTATCCAATCCCAGAGGTTTCCCTGCTTTGCTTTCTCCCACTTTTCTAATCTATCACCAATGGATGTTTATTTTTTTTTTTTATTGATTATGGTTTAACATAATTGTCCTCATCCCCCAATTCCGATCCCAAATCCCTCCCTACATATGCCCTCACCCCTATGTAACCAACATATGTCTTCTATTTTGATTATACTAATGTGTAAGATAAGGTGTGAAACTACCATTCTCTGGAGTATCCTCAATCCATTAAGATTTTGCTTCTCGCCAATTGTTGGGCTCAAATAAACTCACAGAAAATCTTCACAGGTTTGAATGTTTCCTATGTTGACAGTTCCCTTGGTCATAGGGTTGTTTTTTGTTTTTGTTTTTAATTAAAGAGGCTTTATTTGGAGAGAGATACTAGAGTGTGCTCAGGCATATAGCTCCAATCCACCTCCTCTCTCCCCTCTTTCCTGGTAGGTCTCTCCTCCAGTTAGTGGAGATTGGATACCCTTTGCTGTAGGAATCACTGGTTTAAACTCCTTGAGAGCAGCAGCAGCTAACATTTTTCTAAGCATTTACTAATAGGATAAGAAAAATCATTTTGATAGCTCCTCTCAAAAATCTTATGTATTAAAATGATGAAATGGACAAGAATTTCATTATATTAAGAACCTCACACCGACTAAGCCCTCTGAGGGGGAGAGTGTTCATTTACTGATAAAAAAAATTGGTAAATGAATGCATGCATCCTATTCTTTTAAATTCTATGCTATTATACATGCAACAAACCTACATGGATTTCTTTTAACTTAGGTTTTAGAGACACTTTCATAGATAGCTATCACTTTACAAATAATCTGTAATCTAAATTGTCTCATTAAAACCATGTTAATTTCACCTTCTTTTTGGCCTCCTAGCCCACCACCTGAAATAATAATAATAATAATAATAATAATGACTCAGTTACTTGTGAAAATGATTGCAAAGGTCTTAATAATCCCACTAGAAATTTAAATGTTATCAGAGGACAAAAAACAATAAGGAAAGAAGCCCTAATGCCAGATTTTCAGCCACTGCTTAAGACCACTCTAGCATTCAGGAATGACTTTCTACTTTGGATGAAATATCTTAACATCTGATGTCATAATTTAAAGAAAACTGAATTTTTACAAAATGTCCTGGTAATTGATATTACAGACTTCTTTATGGATTAAAGTCTTCTATTCACGTTGATAAATAGATGTGGCGGGGGGGGGGGGGGGGGGGGGGAGGCGGGAATCTCTAGAAGAGTCCCAACTGTCACAGTCAGCCTCTTGGGTGATTGGAGGAGGTAGGGAAGAACAGAAAAGACAATAAATAGAATGTCTAACTCATCACTTTGGAATTAACCAAGCATAAATAAGACTGGGAAAGAACAGTATGAAAGAAGGGAAAGGGGAAGCAGGACCACCCCTGGAAAAGAAGGGCCATGAAGCATGAGATCCAAGTAAACCCAGTGTTTCAACACCGCCCTCCATATGCAGCAGTAGTGGTGGGTCAGCTTTTTACCTAATTATTAGAAATCCTAAAGTTTGGCTCCAAAATAGTTTTCCACTTCAAGTTCTGTTCTTTTTTTATAATTGTTATTATTTCAAAAATAGCCTTTTTCTTTTAGAAGAGGTCATTCTTCAAATCCAGTTCACACGAGAGGATTTGGTATGGACAGCGAGTTCCAAATGCACTATATTCAGTAACACTTTAGCGGGTTCCAGTTGTGTCTTAGGCTCTGAGCAGGCACCCCCTCAGGTCTAGAACCCATTATTTAGCTCTTGGAGAGTTTTTACTACTCCTCTTCCTCTCCAGTCACACATCTAAGTCCACCAGACTTTAGACCCCTTGTGAACATTCAACCCTCTCCCTCCTAGAAGCTTTAGTGGGTAGTTAGCAGACTGGTTCATCCATGGCAGGTGGCTTTTATGTTAGGGAGTAGTTTATGTGATTCCCACAAAGCACTTAGCCAGGTGACTGCCAGGAACTTTTGACAGGGTCTGTCTGATTCAAAGGAAACGAGTTATAATTCAGAGGGGAAATCAGACCTTCCCTCCGGGTCTGAAGGCGCAAACTCCTGAGGGCAGGAGGCTCACCTACCCAAGCCATACCCTCACACACCGTGGGCAGCTGCCTGGCTGAATAGCTGATGTGCTGCAGAGCCTCTGGCACAGAGGGGTTGCCTGGCAATCCGGTGGATGGCTCCCTATCTCCCAGGGCGAGGACACCACGCGGTGTGGGAGCCTGCTGTGTGTTAGGGACCACATGCGAGTTTTAATGAAGTAACTCCATTAGTTCTCACTGAAGGCTCTGGGAAGCAGGTGTCATTGCTTCCAGGTCTTAAGAAGGCAGCTGGGGGTCCCAATGGGCCCAAGCTCACACTGTGGCCAGTAGAGGCAAGAGATAAAGCTAGACCTCGGATACCACCCCCGCTCCTCATCTCCAACTGCCCCCTTTGTAAGTCCATCACCCTGGAAACCGGTTGTAAATCCATCACCCCGGAAAACCCGCCAGGCCTGACGCACCCCGGTTCTAGCACCCACAACGGCCCCGGTCTCCTGCCCCATCCGTGGGGCGAGTGCGCCCTGGTCCCTGGACCCGCCTTGCCGCCCTGGCAGGCCCAGATGTGCCCGCTGGAGCGACTCCTTGCGTTCCGGGCCGGGGAACAGGGGGAGGGGGGGGGGCGTGTAAAGTTGCAGGGGAAGGGGAGGGGGCAGGGGAACAGGGGAGTGGGGGGTAAGGTTGGAGGGGAAGGGGAGGGGAAGGGGGAACAGGGGAGTGGGGGGGTAAGGTTGGAGGGGAAGGGGAGGGGGCAGGGGAACAGGGGGAGGAAGGGGGGTAAGGTTGGAGGGGAAGGGGAGGGAGCAGGGGAACAGGGGAGTGGGTTGGAGGGGAAGGGGAGGGGGCAGGGGAACAGGGGGAGGAAGGGGGGTAAGGTTGGAGGGGAAGGGGAGGGGGCAGGGGAACAGGGGAGTGGGAGGGTAAGGTTGGAGGGGAAGGGGAGGGGGCAGGGGAACAGGGGGAGGGAGGGGGGTAAAGTTGGAGGTGAAGGGGAGGGAGCAGGGGGAGTGGGGGGGTAAGGTTGGAGGAGAAGGGGATGGGGCAGGGGAACAGGGGGAGGGGGGGTAAGGTTGGAGGGGAAGGAACGGGGCAGGGGGGATCCCCCGGGGAGGGCGCGGGTCGCGCGCGGCGGGAGCCACTGTGCGCTGCGCGGGGCTCCGCCCTCGGGGCCGGGCCGGGCCGGGGCGGGGCGGGCGGCGGGCGGGACCGGGAGCGGAGCGGGGCGGCGGCGGGAAGGAGGGGAGGAAGGGAGGGAGGCCAGGCCGCGGGGTGGGCGGAGCGGTCGAGCAGGGGCGGCCGGGCCGGAGCCTCGCAGCCGGTGCAGCCGCCGCCGCGATGGGGCTGGAGACGGAGAAGGCGGACGTGCAGCTCTTCATGGACGAGGACGCCTACAGCCAGCACAGCGGCCTGGACTACGGCCCCCCCGACAAGTACGCGGACTCGAACCCGGACCGGGACCCCCTCCAGCTCAACTCGCATCTCAAGGTGAAGCCCGGGCGGGGCGGGTCACAACCTGGGCCCGAGACTAGCCCCAGTCCCCACCCCCACCCCGCCTAGGGGGTGCGGCCCCCTTCCCACCCCCACCCCCAGCCCTCGCCACTGGCCAGCCCGCGGGGTCCGGGGACCCGAACCCGCCCGCCGCGGGGCCAGGATCTCTTAGCCACGATTCTGGGCGCCGACTTGGCCCCGAGAGGAGGTGGGCGCCCCTGCCGAGCCCTCCCTCTCCGCCCTCCCCCCGGAGGGCGCCGGGTTCCGGGGGCGCGGGTTTGGGGACATTCGGACCCGCGCCTCGTCCCGCAGGTGGACTTCCAGGACGTGATCGCGGAGCCCGAGGCCACGCACTCCTTCGACAAGGTGTGGATCTGCAGCCATGCCCTCTTCGAGATCAGCAAGTACGTGCTCTACAAGTTCCTGACCGTGTTCCTGGCCGTGCCCCTGGCCTTCGCCGCGGGCATCCTCTTCGCCACCCTCAGCTGCCTGCACATCTGGTGAGAGGGCCCGGGGGGCCGCTGTCCGAAACGGGGAGGCTCCTGGCCACCTGGCCCCTGCCCGCCCCTTCGCCCCCCACCCCCCCTCCGGCTGGCCTGCCAGGGGAGGACCCCCTTCAGCTCCTCACACCCCAGCGAGAAAGGGCGGCCTGTTAAGTCAGTGTTTTGTGTTTTTCAATATTGGAGGTGGGGGTGGGGGCGAGGAGAGGCGTGGGCATGGTTAGGAGTTTAAACGGAGGGAATGTCCCTCTGCCTGCAGGCTGACCCAGCTGCCTGTGGAGGTGGGAGCCTGTGTTTCCTGCCACAGGCTGTTTCCCCCCTTCCCCCCCCCCCTCTCCCTCTCTCTCTCTCTCTCTCTCTCTCTCTCTCTCTCTCTCTCTCTCTCTCTCTCTCTCTCCCTCCCTCCCTCCCTCCCTCTCTCCCTCTCTCCCTCTCTCCCTCTCTCCCTCTCTCCCTCTCAGCTGTGTTGGGACTTGTACCTCTGCTTTTGGGCAGGGCTCTCTGTGTTTGTTCCATCACTTCTCATGCAGTCACCACCTCTGCTGGGGGTAAAACAAAAGCGATCTGGGAGCAGAATGCCAGGGGCAGTCCCCCTGGAAAAGGATGTGAAGCCCGCTTCCTGCCAGGGGCAGATGGCAAAGAGTAGACCAAGTGCTGAAAATTCAATCTTCGGGATAATGAGATGACCAGGCCTCCAGATTCCCTTTTCCACTTGTAAACAGCAATTCTGGTGAAAGGGGAAATATATTCAGAAACCTACTGGATACTGATAGGATACTCTGAGTAACTTTGTTCACACTCAAAATGCATCCCAAAGCTTTGGAGAACAGTTTCAAGTATCAAAAACTTTTTAAGGGAAAATGCCATATTTTACCAAGAAGTTTTGTTGTTGTCGTTTTAAAAGGTACCCGCTTTATTTGAGAGGCAACAGGTGCCAACCTTGTGCTTTAGGTCCATCCTGGTCAAATACGTAACCCCAGATGCCACCACGCCTTCCCTAACCACTTTAGATGATGGTTTTGCTGCACCCTCACTCACAGTGTGTGTTCCCTGTTAAAGTTACAAAAATTAGTCTCCATTCCTCTTTACCATCTGAATCAAGTTCTTTAGTCAATTAGCCAGCTGTTTGGTTCACCAAAAAAACTTTATTGAGTGTTTGGTTTGTGCAGGGCACTGGGCCCAGCATGAGTAAGATGCAGGGTCTGTCTGCCTTCAGCTTCTTCACAGCACATCAGGGCTGGGTACCAGGTGGATGCTGAGAAAACTCACGTAAACCTGTGGAGGAGGAGGGAGGCACAGGGAAGGCTCTGTGGACAGAGAAAAGAGTCTAAAAAGGGTAAATAAAAGTTCACCAAGTAGGCAAAGGATAAACAATGCACATCAATTCAGTCTGATCACTAAAGATTATAAATAACTAAACTATGATGAAAATTCCGAAAGACTGCTGAAGGAATAAAACCTGTGCCTTGATATATCAGCAGGTCCACAAAGGCCAAGTGTATATTATAGTTAGTTCATATTCTGACATTACACATGGGTTGTTTTTAATCTTTACTCGAGGATATGTTTGTGTGTGTGTTTTAATTTTGTAGAGAAAGAGAAAGGGAGAAAGAGAAACATCAATGAGAGAGTGAAATATCAATGGGTTGCCTCCCATACTCACCACAACCTTTTGGTGTAAAGGATGATACTGAAACTAACAGCCACCCTGCCAGGGCAATACATGGACTTTTTAAATTTCAGCAGTTAAAATTGTGTATTCCTAAAGAACTAAAACCAGTCATCTAACCTCTGTGTTAGTTTTCTCACTTTCAAAAATTCAAAAGACTGAGAAGCCACAGCGTGTTGTGAAATGCTGGTTTGAAGCTGTTTGGAAATGTAGAGTGCCATGTTTGTAGCCAACAAAGCCAGGTTTTCCCAAAGCACTTGTGGAAGACGAAAGCAAAAAGGTTTTCATTTTCTAAATGGTGGAAAGATATAAGTCCAACTACATTTAACCAAATGATGCTTCTCTCCACCTGCCTGTCCTGAGACCCATGGGGGTTTTTGTGTACGGTGAATCATCAAACCAGTTCTTTTTCAGCCACATGGAATATATTATTTAACTTCAGCTTTCTTCTCACATTGCATTCATGTGGGACATTAATATTTAACCGTCATACATTTGTCATCAGACAGCTTTGATTGCACGTAGATAAGTCTAACAAAAATGCTTAAAAGTTAGTTTATACCTGAATAAAATAGATTAATCTTCAGTGGCTTACATGACATGATAGGAATGGATCAAGTAGAGACCTTAGAGAATATCAAACCTATTTGAGTAAGCTTGTGCTCCCTCCCCCTCTCTCTCCCTCTCACTTGTTCTTGCCTTGCTCCTTCTCTTTTGATAGGGAGTATGTGACCAAAGCTATAAAAACATCACATGATCACAACGGGTCTTATTTTTAAATTCCTTAAAGAAACAAGTGAAAATAAGAATAACAACAACAAACAAAACAACAGCAACCCTGGTCTCATTCTGGCAATGTGTCCCAGGCCAGAACTCAGGCCATTAGGACCCAGGGAACTGGTTTGATTCCACACCACGCTCAGGCTGAGGTAGCAACCATTTGGCAATTGCAAGTTATTGATCACAAGTAAATCATACCAAGAAATGTTGGCTGGAGCTCCCTTACCCCTTATATTTGCTGGGATACAATTCAAATACCTGTTCCTATGATGGGAATGCAAGCAGTATCAGTCTCATTTTCCGGGAGATTTTTTAATCAAGCAAATTGCTATGGCAGTTCAATCTGCATGACACTATTGTTAACACAAAGCTAAATAGAAGTCTCTGTCCAAAGAGCTTTATCATGGAATGGAGGAATATATACTCTTATAAATTATAAGAGTATATTTGGCCCTGGTCAGTGTGGGTCAGTTGGTTGGAGCTGTTGTCCCATACACCAAAAAGTAATGGATTCAATTCCCCATCAGGGTACATACCCAGGTTGAGAGTTTGATCCCTAGTCATACCTCTCTCTCTCTCTCTCTCTCTCTCTCTCTCTCTCTCAATCAATTTTTTTAAAACATTTGAAGAAGTATTTAGGTTGGCTACATTGAGCTTCAACCAAGTTTTGGGTTGAAGGGGTACTATTTAGGATGTTGAGGAAACAGTTAGTTTGATATCAGAAGATCTTTGGATTCTTTGACCCAAAGTGAGAGAACAAGTTAAAGAAAATAACATTTAAATGAGTTCAGCGCATCCTATGAACTAACATCCTCCAATGTGGGCACTGCAGTCTGCTGAACTGGAAAATCCACTTTTGTTCCGCGCTTAATTCCCTCTGGAGACAAAAAAAAAAAATCTAACAATTTATGAAGATGATAAATCTCTTAGCCTAAGGGAGAAAGGCAAGTTAATTATATTTTGAATGAAGTGGATTTGATTAAGAAGTTTTCTGATCTAAAGTTAAGGATGTCAATTTGAGATTATTTGGTTATAATTGTTTTCATTCTGACTTCAAAATAGTTCTATTTATTATAATGACAGCACCATTTGGATATTTCAAGGGCACATAATACTGATTGCCACTCTAAGATTTCCAAACCATACTTTAATTTGTAGTCATTTACCCAAAGCCACATATAAAATGAGAAACTAATGCAATAAGGAGGCCAAATGTTGCCATCATTCAAGTTTCTATTCAACTCTTTAGCTCTGAAACACCTAGTAATTAATTTTCTTTCGAGACTGCTTCAAGTCTTTAGTATGTACTTGGAACAAAACACAAGATAAGTATAATCTGTAAACAGTCAATATGAATAATTCAGGGTTCTAAAAATACTGCAATCAGACAGTTGCCTGATCTTTCCTTCTCTTTGGAATAAGTACCACAGACCTTTACTTAAGTCACATTTTAAAAGCAAGCCAAGAACATCAGCCCTACTTCCTGTGCCCACCCAGGTAATAATCAAAATTCCATGAGGCTGCCGTCAAGGCCGGAGAATTCACAAACACCACTGTGCTCCAAGGACAGCACTGCGGCAGGCAGCATTCTTCAGAGGGTGACAGAGAAGAGCCGTGTTCACAGGAATATGAGACTATGCAGTTACTTCCAGAAAAGGCATATGAATAAAATAATTTCAATGCCGTCTAGTTTTCCTCATCTAAGAAATTGCAGGACTCTTTTAACTATACCACACAACCCTTTTCAGTACATGTAATTATTGTGAAAAATTAAAAAGACAGCCCTGACCAGTGTGGCTCAGTGGATAGGGCGTCAGCCTGCGAACTGAAGGGTCCTGGGATCGATTCCGGTCAAGGGCATGTACCTTGGTTGTGGGCACATCCCCAGTAGGGGGTGTACAGGGGGCAGCCGATCGATGTTTCTAACTCTCTATCCCTCTCCCTTCCTCTCTGTAAAAGATGAATAATATTAATGTAAACAGATTGCTAAATTCACTCCACCTCAAACATTTACTACGGATCAAGAATGTCCTCACTTAAAGAACTTAAAGTTTGTTTCAATATGTTAGATGCACAAACACACGCGTGCAAGCCTTCAGTCCAGCCTGTCCTAAGGGGAAGGGAAGTGGGATGAGGCAACAGGAAAGGCTACAGGAATTAGAACCACAGAGAAAGGGGAACAGTTAGGCAGGTTAATGTTAGGGGTAAAGGTCAGATCAATTTAGTTTAGTTTTTTTTTTGTTTGTTTTACTGATTCAGATAGCATACCACCAAAAGAAATAAGATTACTGTTTGTCATCTACCTGCCTATTTATTTTTTAAGCAACTTCTGTGCATCTTATCACCATGTGGGTCACTTTATTTTATTTGTTTCAAAAGTTCAGCCAAATTTAGGTGAGTTGGGTCATTGGTATATCTTTTCACGCATGGGCAAAAGCCAGTGGCCTTATTTGGTAACACTGATAATCCTTACACATCTCTCTTCCTCCGCCCCAGGATTATCATGCCTTTTATAAAGACCTGCCTGATGATCCAGCCCTCAGTGCAGACCATCTGGAAGAGTGTGACAGACACGGTCATCGCCCCGCTGTGTCTGAGCACCGGACGCATCTTCTCGTCGGTCAGCGTGCAGCTGAGCCACGACTGAACGCGTGCTCCCAGGGCTGCAGAGGTGGCGACTGCCCTATTCCTTGGTTGTTACAGCATAAAGCGACTACTGTTCTGTTCGTTTCCCAATTTGTGCTCATTAAGAAAACTGTTGAGATGGACAGCCACATTTAGAAATGTTCATTGGCAAGTGTTTTCCAAGTAATGCTTTTATAATTAATAACCACGGGTTTCATATTAACTTTATAACCAGAATTATACAATAGGTTGACAACACTATCTTTAAAGGCAAACACTTTTTGCTTTAGTACCAAAGTATATCTTTTGTCATGATGAATTTATAATGATCAAGATACATTTCTCTCAAATACTACAGTGGTTTTTTTTTTGCACAACTGCCATAAAAATATGAGATTTCTTCTTCTTTTTTTTTTTTTTTTTTTTACTCTGGAAGTAATACTGTTAAATTATCTTTGCAGAAAAAGTCATAGGGATTCTTAGCAATAATATATACAAAGATCCTAGAAATTGCAGAAATGAAAGCATACCATAGTGATAGGGGCTATCAAATATGATAAATGTGAAAATTGATTTATGCAAATGTGTTCCTTTAAATAAAGTATTGTTAATCTATAATCCTATTTAACAAGAAATTTCATTTTACTGTATATTTTGTACTTAATGTAAATGTTGCTCTAATCAGATTGCTTTAAAGCACTTTTATTATATTTGTATTGTTGAGCTAATATATAGAATGAGTAACTGTAACTCCCACAGGAATTTTTACTTCTGAGAATGCACTGTCTTGATTATGTAAGCATTTATATCTTATTTGGGGAAAGAATGTAAAAGACCAATGTACTGGCTTTTCTTTCTAACTTTACAAGCAAAACCCTGAAATGTTTTATAAGTAATGTTTATCTTAAAATAATCTGTATCCAGTTCTTACTTTGTTTAGGCTAACTTTCTTTCTTATAGTTAGAAATTAAATCATTATGCTGCATTCCTATTAATGTTTCACTTTATCTTCAAATAATATTGGTGCTATTTAATAACATTTTACAATAAAGCCTATTTCCTAGACTTAAGATTCATGTAGAGAGACTTCCAAGAAAGTTGTCAATTTGTTGGGTCCATGCTACTGAGCTTTTATTTATAAATGAAACACTAACAGCTATAAACGTTCAATATGTTGTCTAACATGGGTTTTGTTACACAGTATAGAATTATTCTTATCATTGTGAACTGTAAAATCCTATTTTAAAGTTATGCATTGCTTTTATTTTAGAAATCTCATTATTCCAAAATGATAACTTACATAAAAGTTGTCTATGATGTGAGTAGTTACTACAATTTACACATCTTAAAAGTGTGAAATGCTCAAATTTCAGGTTTACTATAAGAACCTGAATTAACATTCCTTTAATATCTTCATAGATGACAAATCTTTATTCAAATAGTACTCTTATTTTTCCAAATTACCAAGACTGGTGAAATAAAGGATGATTTGTTGCAATATTATTTGAGACCAAAGCAAATTAATGATTAAATTATGAGACTTGTATTTTTCTGAAAGTAACCTCAAAAGAGGCTTGAAAACCTGTCTTAGGCCATGATAGCATCCTTAGGAAAGATGCTCAATGAAAGCATTTCCACTCATTTGGCAAGTTTTAAAATCAAAATATATATATACAAAGTCACATAACAACCAAGTAACTTTTTTAAATGATAAATATGAGCTCCTTATTTCTTAATAGCGTTGGATACTTTCAAAGTGAATTTTTATTGAGATTTGCCATTAACTATTTGAAAAACTGAACTTTTGTATCAAGGTGATCCAGGTCATGTGTGTAAACATGTTTGTCTTTTAGCTGGGTGTCTATGAGAGGTGGATGATTTGGAGACTTTCTCAATATCCATAATAAACTTTCTAAAAACCCATCTATACATTCATTGTTTTTCTTACATTAAATATAGAATTGATCAATAAATATTCTTTTAAAACTAATTACCTTCTTAAAAACTCATAATACATTTAAAAACATGAATTATTGCTTATTTGGGAATGTATTGGTGAAAAATTATGAGATTGGTAATTTAATTCTTTCATTTTTCCAGCATTTAAGAGATCTCCTATTAATTTTTCTATTATTGGATGAAAAGTATGGAATAGCTTGCTCATAAACCCATTATATTTCATCTTCATGAAATGAAGTCTCTTCCTAATCCTGAATAAATTGATATTCTGTTTTCAAATTTTTTTAATGAGGAAGTAAAATAATATAAATCATATGTTCTTGAATACTGGTACTATGAAGCCATACTAGAGTCTAAAATTATTTCTAGAAAGTGAGTATGTGAAGTTTATTTTCTGATTTAGTGTAGATTTTTTTTGTTGTCAGTATATCTGGAAAATTTACCAACTTCTAATAATAAGGCAGGTGTCTGGCTTTTTAAAATGCTCTTTATAGTTTCAAAGAACTTTGAAAGTCCCTTTTCAGTCATCCACATCCCATGGATTTATTGCACATGTGTCAAACACAAGGCCCGCGGGCCAAATCCGTCCCACCAGGCCTTGCAATATGGCCCGCAACCGCGCTGTCATCACTGCACTCCGCTGCGTTTCCATCACAATGACAGTTTATGACTGTTCAGTAAACCATTCAGCCCGCGATTTAGGCTGGATTTTAGATTTTGGCCCCTTCTCTGATTGAGTTCGACACCCCTAATTTAGAGGCTTCCTTGGAAAGCTATTGGATCTAATGAGAAAAAATCAAGCATCCAGTCTCAGCACTGCCTTTACTGAGGTGTGTCACCTACGGCAAATGGTTTAATCTCAGGGGTCTCAATTTTCTAATCTTTAAGGGGAGGACTGAACTAAAAAAAAAAAAAAATCTCTCAGGAGCTTTCTAGCTCCTTGTTTTCTATAGCCTCTGTAAGATGAAGTCTTGGCTACATATTGAAAACCAGTCAAAACCGGTTTGACTCAGTGAATAGACCATCAGCCTGCGGACTGAAAGGTCCTGGGTTTGATTCCGGTCAAGGGCATATACCTTGGTTGCAGGCACATTCCCAGTGGGGGTTGTGCAGGAGGCAGCTGATCAATTTTTCTCTCTCATCGATGTTTCCAACTCTCTCTCCCTTCCTCTCTGTAAAAATTCAATAAAATATATATTTTAAAAAAGTGAAAAAAAGAAAACCTATCTGTTCAGCGCAGGAATTTTTTAAAATCATGGATTTTTTATTAATTATAGGGCTAGGTGCTACAAACATAAATAATGCATTAGTTTTTCATTCTTCAGTTGATTGTAAAACTGTGTATGTGGCTTTGATTCTTCATGACAGGGATTCTTAGATTTATAACAATTTTAAGTCTTTATGATGATGACATTTCCCCCCAAAATAATGTGACTCCGTAGTTTAAATTAATTAAAATGTATTTCATTTGAAGGTTTCTCTACCAAGATCACTGCTAGACTGTCATAACCATTGCTGTCTTCATCCTTGGCCCAGCTACTTGCTACAGCCTGTTAACTGGCCTCACTCCCAGCCTTCAATATGGCCTCCTCCAAACCATCTTCCCCTCCAAACAAAGGGATCCCATCAAGACTTCCTGGTCAAAATTATCAATTGCATACGCCTGCCCTTACAATAAAATCCAGACTCTTTCACAGTGTACAAAGGCCTTCACTATTGCTCCACTGTCATCCGTAGCCCTCACTGAAGTGCCAGCTCTTTCCTCCCACCAGGCCAGGATCACCCTTCTCCTCGTGGCAATCTAGCCCCTTCTGTTTCTAAAACTCCTCCACATTAAGAGCCTCTTCATATAAAATCTTGGACAAACGCCAATTATCACTTACGACAACAGTAAAACTAGCCCTTGTTAACTAACCCTACTTGGTTACTAGTTAGAATGAAAAGCATGACTTTGTTTTTGTTTCCTGTGATTCTGAAGTGGTGCCCAGCACTTGGTGAGCACAATCAATACTTTTGAATGAATGACTATGTGAATAAATAATTAAAGAAAACTTGGGATGATTTCAGAACTAGCATGAAAATCATGTTTTGACTTCAAATATTTCTTCATTTGCAAGAGGGATATGAAATGTACTAATTCTAGTAATTACTCCCCATTTTCTTATCTGAAATTTATTTAGCATCTTTAAGGATATAAAACACTAACACTTGGATACTAATTTGGAAGCATACTTTCTAGCATTTTAGAATGTTGCTATTTCTTCAACTATCCTATCTCCCATTTTCAAATTTATAATACTAAAAGCATTGTGTTTATAGCACTCTACTCTTTAGAAAACACAGACCTATACATTGTCTCATTTAAACCCAGGCCAAATTAAATTGCATAGCAGAGAAATCATATAAATAATAGCTCTAGCCCTAACCGGTTTGGCTGAGAGGATAGAGCATCAGCCCTCAGACTGAAGAGTCCTGGGTTTGATTCTGGTCAAGGGCATATAACTTGGTTGTGGCTCAATCCCCTGTAGGGGGCTGCAAGAGGCAGCTGATCAGTGTTTCTTGGTCTTCAGTGTTTCTAACTCTATCCCTCTTCCTTCCTCTCTGTAAAAAATCAATAAAGCCCTAACCAGTTTGGTTCAGTGGATGGAGCGTCAGCCTGAGAACTGAAGGGCCCCAGGTTTGATTCCTGTCGAGGGCATGTGCCTTGGTTGCAGGCACATCCCCAGTGGGGAGTGTGCAGTAGGCAGCTGATCGATGTTTCTCTCTCACTGACAGTTCCATCTCTCTGTCCCTCTCTATTTCTCTCTATAAAAAATCAATAAAATATCTTTTCTTAAATCAATAAAAATGTATTTTAAAAAAAAATAATAATAGCTCTATTTCTATAGCTTGAAACTTTGTCATTTTAGAATGTTTATTTAAGAGAACAATAAGTTAAAGAATTTTTACAAGGTTACAAATTACTCTAACAATTGTTTTTTTAAAAAATTATGTGGTGCTACAATAAAAAATTACCAGGCTAATGCAGTTAATCACAAATCTGAATTTGGTATATCTTCTCCCCCCCCCCCCCCCAAGGCTCTGATCACTGATGGCAAATGGGGACCTGGGGTGGGTGGAGGGAGATATAGGCGGCACCAGGCCAAGGCCCCCCACCCTGCCAGTTGCCCCACACACGGAGGGTGACTGGCAGCAGGGGTGGGGCCGGTGAGTGGTTGGGGCCAGTGAGCAGGCAAGAATGGCCAACCTCTGGGTCCCTCCCCTTGCCTTCAGGCTCCCATCTCTGTATAGCAAACTGGGAACTGAGGTGGCTGGGACCAGGGGGCCAGTGCCAGCTGCTGGCAACCAGGGAAGATGGCCCTGATCATGGGCTAGGCCTAAGGACCATGTCTGTGCATGATTTCGTGCATTGGGCCTCTAGAATATTATATAGGGAGGACAAGGGAAGGAATTGAAGGAGGATGGAATGCAGGATAAGGATATACAAGATATTCAAGTTATTTTTTAATATATTTTTATTGATTTCAGAGAGTAAGGGAGAAGGAGGAGAGAGAGAGAGAAACATCAATGATGAGAGAGAATCATTGATTGGCTGACTCTTCCACGCTTCTTTTTTTTTAATATATATATATATATATATATATTGATTTTTTACAGAGAGGAAGGGAGAGAGATAGAGAGCTAGAAACATCGATGAGAGAGAAACATCAACCAGCTGCCTCTTGCACCCCCTGCCCTGGGAAAGTGCCTGCAACCAATGTACATGCCCTTGACCAGAATCGAACCTAGACCTGTCAGTCTGCAGATCGACGCTCTACCCCTGAGCCAAACCGGTTTCGGCCTCTTCTACACTTCTTACTGGGGATCAAGCCTGCAACCCAGGCAAGTGTCCATTCCAGGAATTGAACCTGGGACCCTTCAGTTCACAGGCCAATGCTCTATCCACTGAGCTAAACTGGCTAGGGCACAGGTTATATTTTTCAGAAATAAAAACAATTTGGGTTTCCATAATTTAATCAACCTAATTCCCTACCCCATTCACATTCACCCCTAAATAGCCAAATGAGCAAAAGAAGGCACTTGTTGTATTTTAAAAAAATATTTTGTACCCACTCCTCAGCTACTTTCTTTGGACTGTATCTGAAATGCCACCTTTGGGACCTTATACCTTGATGCTTCTTTAAGGAAAAGATACCCTTTGCGTGAGATAACATTTCCCTTCATTAGCAGGCATCCATTACTTTCATGTGAATGGATTGTCTGAGAAAGGGATATTGAAAAACCACATAAGGGATATTGAAAAACCAAGGATGAGGGCCTTGACCCGCGAGCCATACGAGAACACCATGCCCTGATTAAAAGGCATGCCACCAAACAAAACCAGGACAGAACAGGGGAAACAGGAGTTTCCTGTGACACAAGCGTCCCCTTCACGGTTTGGCTGTTGGATACTCCTGTCCCAAACCCCTAGAGTAGGGGGCAATGGGAATTAAACAGGGCGAAGGGAGTTGAAGTCAGCTAAATACTTTTCCATGAAGGAACATCGCCTGTGTCTAACCGAATAAAAAGAGGGGTGAGGGCTGTTCTAGAATCAAGTATCCGAGATACAATGGCAGAAAGCAAAAGTTAAAGCAAAAAGTGAATGCAGGCTGTGACTATTCATCTCTTTCCCATCTCCCTGCCTGGTGCTGTGGGCCGCTGCAGTGTCTCTGTGGCAGAGAAAGGAGACCACGCCGCAGGGGGAGAAATCAGAGGACACCTCTTCAACAGTCACCCAAAAATAGGACAGACACCTATCTGCCTGCACAAGGACGTGCGGGGTCACTCGGCTTGGCCGCACACCCGGAGGAGTCATTCTGCCATTATCGGAAAAGGTGGGCGTGGAGAGGAATGAGAGAAAGGAAGAGATGTGACTCAGAGCGGAAAGCAGCACGTAATCCAGAGCCAATATTTCTCCCAGACACAAACGGCTCAGGAAGAGGCTGAAGCGGCAGGTCATGGGGGAGCACTCTTTTCTCTCCCTGACTCTGGGGAGCTTGTCCTGGAGCACCTGCCTGGGACAGAGGAGGGACAAGGGCAGTGAGTAGGGCTGCCTCTCTGGCTGCAGGGCCCACCCATTGCTGGCTCAGCTAACGGGGACAGGAAGACAGGAGTCACTTGGAAAGTTTTGGAGATAAACACACCATTTCCCAGTGAGGCAAGTGGCAAGGATTACCAGGCTCCTTTGACAGAGAAGGAAACTGTTTGGAATCCTGATCTCCTGTACAAAAAAA